TCTTACACTCCAACGCTTTATCCAATACTTCTTACTTCCATGGGCAGATCCACACCATACCCTCAAAGCCCATCCAACGTACGGTACATTTAAAGCACATTACACCTCCCCCCTCAAAGGATCTTGGGAAATGTAGTTTCCTCCTCACAGAGCTACAATTCACAGCATCCCTGAAGAAACTGCAGTTCCCAGGACTCTGGGGAAAGTCATGAGGTTTAAATGTGCATTGAGTGTGTTTTAAATGTATGCTGTGGATCCGCTCAGGACCCACATATAGTTCTCAGTGAAACCAAGGAGGAAAGTTAGTCATGACTCGAGACCCATTGATTTCAGTGGGAACTAAGCGCAATAATAGCAGCCCCGATTGAGCCATATGTCTGTAGAGCCACTGAGTAACTATGAGTAATTTTTAACCTGAAGAAATTTGGAGTGTAATTTGACATCAGGATTTAGACTTCAGAATTAAAATTCATTACCAAACTGATTGCCTTTCTCAGGGCTTCAATAAATCTTGTACTTGAACTATTAGAACCAAAAGGAAATTGTGTACAAGGAGAAGGGGACAACAGAGGACGAGATGGTTGGACAGTGTTCTCGAAGCTACCAGCATGAGTTTGACCAAACTGCGGGAGGCAGTGGAAGGCAGGAGTGCCTGGCGTGCTCTGGTCCATGGGGTCACGAAGAGTCGGACACGACTAAACAACAATACAGTGGTACCTCGGGTTAAGTACTTAATTCTTTCTGGAGGTCCGTACTTAACCTGAAACTGTTCTTAACCTGAAGCACCACTTTAGCTAATGGGGCCTCCTGCCGCTGCCACCACGCCACCACTGCACAATTTCTGTTCTCATCCTGAAGCAAAGTTATTAACCTGAAGCACTATTTCTGGGTTAGCGGAGTCTGTAACCTGAAGCGTATGTAACCTGAAGTGTATGTAACCCGAGGTACCACTGGGTATAATAGCTAAATCGTTTTATGTCACTTTCTCCTTACCTTACCACGTTGTATCTGCAGAAAACACAATGCAGACAACTGTTAACAGATATTACCATATCCACATTGGGGATATGTGGAAACTTTTGGTTCAGAATTTTGTTTTAGCATCTAGTGGTACTCCAGGTGTTCTGAAGCCTCCTTCTAGTGCGCCGATATCACCACCTCCTTTGCAGTGTGGGCTTCAAAAGATGTCCATTGAGCTATTTCCTTCAGCTTGCCCTTTCTGCACTTGCCCAGAGCGGACTCAGTCAACTCTGTAGTTCTTGTTGAAAACAATGAATGCTCTTATAGTTAAACTACGGAACTCGTTCCAGCCAGTGTTTTTTTTCAAGAAAAATAGGTGCCGGAACTCACCATGAAGTTGAGTTGCTGTGCTCACCAGGCCGGAGCTGTTTTGTTTCTTTGAATAAAGAGTTAACTTCATGGACACCTTGTGAGTTATTGCAGACCTGTACCCAACACCTGCCACCTGACACTGAGTAGGAATTTAAATTTGCATCTCTCACATCCAGTGATCAGTTCTAGATGCTGCCCTGGATTATTTCCTTGGGTGCTCAGGAGCCTGTGGGATTCACGGGTTTTTAGGCTAATGTTCACCTAGATCCCAAAGCCTAGAATACACATCCTTCTCTTGACCACTTGGACAGTATCCCCAGTCTTGCTATCCTGAGATCAAAAGACCAATCCCAACTCTTTACTTTTCTTTCCTGGCAAGGTCTCATGTTGGCGTGCTGCGTTTCATGTTTCCTGGTTTCACTGTTTTCCAGTCTGTCTGTTGAAACAGGTGTTTGGTGAAATAGGTGGTGTCTCCCACTGGGCTTTTGTTTGCCTTTGCAATCATGGTGACGTTGGCTGAAGGTAGAGTTGTGTATCATGTGACGTCACTTGCTGAATCTGAGCACCGCTGTTACCTTGGGGTTGACACCACACCCTAAATGCAAATACTTCTTCCAGGTTTATTTTCAGAATATGTCCCTGTTTAAACTGCAGTGCACTGGAAGCTCAAAGATGCTGTCGAAAACCCAGGGGGTGATCTAATTTTGAGTGAACTCACTTCAGCTCAGCTTCAGCCCTATCCCTTGGTGATCTTTAACACAACATATCCCTTATATATCCTATAGGTATATTTCAATTTCATTGTTCTGCATGGGACAATGACAATAAAGATATCATATATCGTATATCGTAGGTCACTGCAATCAGCAGGAGAGTTTCTCCTCAAACTCCCCCAAATACAGTGGTACCTCGCAAGACGAATGCCTCGCAAGACGGAAAACTCGCAAAACGAAAGGGTTTTTGGTTTTTTGAGTTGCTTCGCAAGACGATTTTCCCTATGGGCTTGCTTCGCAAGACGGAAACGTCTTGCAAGTTTGTTTCCTTTTTCTTAAAACCGTTAATACAGTTGCGACTTGACTTCGAGGAGCAACTCATAGCACGCGGTGTGGTAGCCTTTTTTGAGGTTTTTGAAGACTTTGGTGATTTTTGAAGCTTTTCCAAAACTTTTCCGACACCGTGCTTCGCAAGATGAAAAAAACCGCAAGACGAAAAAACTCACGGAACAAATTTATTTCGTCTTGCGAGGCACCACTGTACCAGAAACCTTTGCTATTTTTAAAACTCTTTTTAGCTGATTTTATGTTTGTTATTTGCCTTGAGACATAACTAAAAAGCTGGTTGGTTGGTTGATTGATTGATTGTTAATAATAAAAAGCACAGAAGCAGATTAACCAACTTGACAGGCTAGCTTCAACTTTACTATATATTTTTATCCAAGTGGATAAAGACAACTGGTTTATACAGTATATACATAGGAGCCAAACTGAAGCGATATATTGATGTACAGCTTTCTTGTGTAATGTGTGGAACTTGCGTGGCAAGTTCCCGCCTCCCCCCTTGGAAATAAAGACACGAGACACAAGAATCCGAGTTAATGGGTCAAATTAGGCCACAACTTTATTGATTAGAGGAATTGAGCGGTATTGGCTTAGGCATTGGTCCTACACTAACCAGATTCAACCGGTAAGGGTTAACCACCAATAGGGGGAGTCCTGCCGAGGCATGTCGGCTAGGAGCTCCCCCCGGAGTTACCGCTTGGGGGCGTGCCGAGGGCCCACACCTCCCTAGGCTCAGGACGAGGCCACGCCCCCGGGAATCCTTTACCGGACTACCCTTAGCTTTGGGGAAGGTGATGGCGCTACCTTCCCCCCATCATCTGCATAACAATAGATCGATACCCCTACCAATGCCTAACCGCCAATACCACGAATTTGTGACGGATTGCTACGAGGTAGGCGAAAACCAAATGGCTGGAGCCAATCTGCCAAATGGGAAAATTCCTACCAGGCCCCTTGATGGCGACCGACTGGAATCGATAACATCGCCAGAGACCTAGCCGAACGGGTGGGCGGGACGGGAAAACCTGGCTGGAGCTGCGCGGCAAAGAGGAAGAGCCTCGGCCGCGCCAGACCTAAATGTGGCTAAGCCACGCCCCCCGGCCCAGCCGATTGGCTGGGCAGGGGATGACGCGTCCGAGGATTCCCCAGGTCATCGCGGGGCTGAGGCCAGCCCCACGTGGGTGGGGTGGGCGTTAAGCCCGCAATCCCACCTCCTCCCTAGCCCGGAAGTGGGTTTCTCAAGCTCACTGTTTGCCTCCTAAACATATGAACCAACCTGGACCATGTGATCACCCTCAGGCCCTTTGCAAGAGGTCCAGAGGATGGCAACACGAAAACGGCCCTTTTCTGTAGTGGCTCCCCATTTGCGGAATGCTCTCCCCAGGGAGGTTCACCTGGCGCCTTCATTATACACCTTTAGGCACCAGGTGATAATGTTCCTCTTCAACCAGGCATTTGACTGACTGACATCCTTTACCCTTTTAAGAATGTGTGTTTATTTTTTGGGGGGGGTATTCTTTTGTTTTGTTCTTGCTCTTATTTCTATTATGTATTTTGTGTTTTTATTTTGCCTTTTTATGCTGTGAACCACCCTAAGATCTTCAGATGAAGGGCAGTATACAAATTTAATAAAGTAAAATATTATCAAAGAGTGCTTTTGGACCATTACAATTTTCTGGTGCAATTCAGTCACATACTAGCAAATCCAGACTGCATAATTATAGTTGATTGGGAAGCCTTACTCAACAAACCCACTTCCCCCAAAAAAGACTGGACTTTTTGCAATAAGTAAAGTGATGTCAAAATGCAATGGAAGATGGGGGATAATGCCTGCTTGACGCAATGTCACTTAATCTGCCTGCAGATTTCTCCTTGCAGTTTCCCCCACCTGCAGTTTGAATTGGCACAGCCCAACAAAAAGTCGTACCACATGACTCTTGTGATCGTACAGCTTGGTTCTAAAATACTGGCCACAGTCTGACAGGCCACATCGCATATGTTTCAGGAAGTTTTGTTCCGCTTCAGGCCAGAAGCACCAAGCTGAGGAGTCCTGGCACATTCTGATTTCTGTGTCTTGTTGACTTTTGGTTTCAAGGTTCAGGCTGTTTCCTTGCAAACAAGCGGTTCTGAGAAAGAAAGAAAGAAAGAAAGAAAGAAAGAAAGAAAGAAAGAAAGAAAGAGAAAGAAGGAAAATTGTTAAACTGGGTAGAACAATTCAACTTGGCAGATACATTGCGCCATCTCTTGATATTTCTTAAGTACTGGAACCCAACAATACTGTATTAGGATCTGGTGACAGATAGAATTCCCTGTGAGATTTGTGCTTCCCAACAGTAGGAACAACTGAGCACTAGGGTGGGGGGAACCTGCCAAAGGAGGCTGTGAAATACTGTTTCTGGAAATCTTGCAAGAGCTTTGGGGCTGAGAACTGAATAAACTTTCAGCAGGGCTGAGAACATCAACTTTATATTCGTGCGGCATGTAGAAATAAGTTTGAACGTCCACAACAATTTCATTAATTTCTCTAGGGTGGGAAGAAGGAGCGCGTGGCGAAAACCTGTTGAAACCATTGTTCTGTTTCTCTCCTTGTGCCCCCACCCCCCAATCTAGATTGAAGAAGGAGGGAAAGCAGATTTATTGAACTCTCAGCTGCAGCCTGGAGATGAAGTGGTGAACATCAACGAGGTGGAGCTCAGCAGTTCCAGGCAGAAAGCCATCTCCTTAGTGAAAGGCTCGTGCAAGAAGTTGAAACTGCTTGTCCGCAGGTAGGTAAGCGTAAGCCACGATGGAGGTGCAAAGGGTTGTTGCGTACTGTAAGGGGTATCGGGTGGTTGCTCGAGAGCAATCAGGCAAGATGCCTCACTTGTCTGTTCTAAAGCTTTATTATTGGTGCTAAAAACCTTTACAATTCAGAGCGCCTCTATTCCATGTCTTGTTCATTCACTGGCAGAATCTGAGACTGGGCGGTCCTTAAATCTTCCCCAGCAGAGTAGTTTCTTGACCCCCAGTCTACGCCTCCCCTCTCTGTGCAAAAGCCTACTGCGCAAGGAAGGCTTGGGTAACGGAGGACCTCTCTCCTCCCCGCTTTGCCCAGGCAAGGTGTCCTGGCACTGCCTTGCATCCTCCGAGCCCTGCATCTCCTCCCCACTAGAGGCGTGGCTTCCTTCCTCCGCTGAGGAAGTGCTGCTTCCCACGATCTTTGGGGGCTCTCTGTAATCCATCCGCCTTTTCCCCTCTCGCCCCTGAGCCGATGGCGGTTCCCTGACACGTACCATTGCAATTCTGTCACAATTCTTGTGGTGCTTGCTAAAATTATGTGGCTATCAAATACCTAGGGATCATTGTTGCTCACCTAGCCTCTTTGTTTCATAAATACAATCCAGATAGCTGCGAATGAGTCTAAACATAATGGCAGTGATTCCAACACTTGTTTTTTCGATGGACCACTTGAACATTGCTCAGGGTCTTGGCAAGCCGGCCACTTAAGGATGCTACAGCAGGCAGAAATGCCATGTGCTGTACTGGCTTTACCCCTCCTTACCTGGCGTCCCTCAACAATACTGCACGTATTGAGAAGGTCCAGGCTGTTGGGGAGAAAAAGAATTCTCCTTCAAATAGGAGGGTGGAGTTGCATTAAAAGAAGAACCCAGCAGTGGTCCTGTGTGTATTTACTCAGACATAAGCCTCACCAAATCCATGGTAGATGTTCATAGGACTTCAGTCTTAGAAGCTTGATCTCATGCACCTTTTCTCAAAAGGAATCCTGTGCTCTGTATGTCACTTACTTATGAGTAAGCTTTGTGGACTGAAAATCTTGATGGGTTTTATGCCTCACCTGGTGTCTCCCAACGATACCATTCATACTGAGGAAGAAAAGGAGGCAAGGCTCTCAGAGTTCTTGAGGCTGAAACCTTTATTTCCTTATAAACCTCAGCCTCCCAAGGAAGCATACCTTTGAAATAAATTCCTTGATAATTCACAACATCCCTTCCGTGGAGGTTTTTAAGCAGAGATTGGATGGCCATCTGTCATGTATGATCTAGTTGAGATTCCCACATTGTATGGGGTTGGACTAGGTGACCCTTGCAGGGCTATAACTATGGGGGGGGGGCTAGCCTGGCATTATTATTATTATTGCCCCAGGTGAAGCCTCCAGAGGGGTGCCAGTGAGGTTCCCAGCCTGTATGTGTATGTGCACATCTAAATGCATGGGGAGGCAGTGGCATAGTATGGGTTGCCGGTGCCCGGGGCGGGGCAAGTGTTGTTTCTCCTGATGGACTGGGCAGCTGGAGTGGGGTGGGGGTACACCGGGGGCAGGGTGCGCATGGAGCCTGTGTGGAATATGAATGAAACCCACCTCCAATAGGCTCCTCTGCCTCCATCCATCTGCCCACTAGACCAACCTGCTTGCTACTGCGCCTCAGCTGCCAGGGCTCCATGCCTGTCATAGGGTCACCTGATGGCGCCCCCTCAAAAATGTGCGCCATGGCACCCCTGGGGGTTCCAAACTGGGTCATTGACCCGGGTGAAATAAAGCCTAATTTCTCCCCTGCCCTTGGGGTCTCTTCCAGCTCTACCATTCTATGGTTCTGTGATTGTGTGACATCGGTTGCTCCTATCTCTGTGGTTCTTAAATTTCTTCCATTTACAGAAAAAAAAAGTCGACCCCGCCCAGTCCACACCCTGATTCTAACGACCTGATCACCGGAGGTTAGCAGTCCCTGAGAAAGAAGCCACGCATGGGGCTCTGTCCTCCCCCTCCCTTTCCCCCTTTTAATTTGGTCTATTTTTAGATCTAAGTTCCCTTTCCCCGCCCACACTTTATAGCAAGAGTTCTGCAGGTGGAGGCAGAGCAGTTCACCTGGCTGAGCACACTGTGCTTCCAGAATGGCATATCTGAGTCAGAATCGGGTCAAAAACAAAACAAAACAGAATGCGTGCAGTTTCAGTGCTGATGTTAGCCAAGCCCAAGTGGTTTGCTGACTCCTTTCAGCGAGAACAATCGGCTCGCATTCCATCAGCATCACCTGAGCAGCGCGGCCATTTCCAGGGCCCGGGACACCTTCCAGATTCTCCTTTAGCCCTGTTAACTGGTTTGTGGCCTCTCCCCTAAAAGAAGAAGTTTTTGCTTATTTGCTTTCATTGGTCAGTTGCACACCCCTTCACTTCCTGGGTCAGCATTACTCTTCCCATACTGATTTATAAATAAAAGACTATCATACTACTCTGACAGTCCTGGAGGATCCTGGGAGTTGTTGTTTGTTCAGAGAGCTGGGAATTGTGACTCTGTGACGTCAGCAAGCTACAGGTCCCACGATTCTGCTTGACAATCAAAGGGGCTTGATTGTGCTTTAAACACATGGGGTGGATATGACCTGAGAAGCTATTGCTAGTTACCGTATTTTTCGCTCCATAAGACGCACCAGACCATAAGACGCACCTAGTTTTTGGAAGAGGAAAACAAGAAAAAAATATTCTGAATCCTAGAAGCCAGGACAGCCAGTGGGATCGCAGCTCAGCGATCCCGCTGGCTGTCCTGGCTTATGGGATAGCCATGCGCAGCCTCTCCCGGGCAAGGGATGAAGGCTCCCCTTGCCCAGGAGAGGCTGCGCGCAGCCAAGCAAGAAACGGAGCCCCTTCCATTTCTCCTCCTGCTTCGCTGAAGGGGCGCTGCACAGAGAGGGAAAGCTGCGCAAGGCCTCTCCTGCAAAGCGAAGCCAGGAGAGCAAGAGGGATCGGTGCGCACTGATCCCTCTTGCTCTCCTGGCTTCAGCGAAAGCAACGCGAAGCCTCTGGAGCGCGGCTGGAGCGCTACCACTGCGCTTCGGAGGCTTCACATTGCTTTCACTGAAGCCATGGAGCCTGCATTCACTGCATAAGACGCACACACATTTCCCCTTAATTTTGGAGGGGGAAAAGTGCGTCTTATAGAGCGAAAAATACTGTATCCTGTACGTTGACAAATAACAGCAAAACACCTCTCCTACATTCAGTACGTTCTGGCTATGATCCACAAAAGAACAGTTGGTTTAATAAGCCCTTAACTTGCTTGAACTTCTATTCTCACAGAAGATACTTTGGCCAGGATGCAATGAGATTCATTTGTTACTTCCTCGCATTTGACTGTTCAGACAGAAGCAATAAAGCGGAAGTGTATTTTGCGAGTTTGGGAGTTGGCTCTTTCTAGACAGATAAACCTCCATGTATAAACAAAAATGCTTGCGTCATGTTCACTGAGTAGTGTGATAAGTAGACCATGGATGCTGGATTGATCACCAGTAAAAGCTAGGGAGAGTCCAATCTGTCAATCTTGGTTTCTTTCAGTTCGCCATATTCCAATCAGTTTGCATTAAAATTAAGTCTTCATGAAAATTCACCAGCATATATAATCTGGCGAACACAAGGGAGAAATTCACAGAGGGGGTGGAATTCTAGTAAAGTTAAAGGTAAAGGATACCTGGACGATTAAGTCAAATTAAAGGCAACTATGGGGTTGCGGCGGTCATCTTGCTTTCAGGCCAAGGGAGCTGGCATTTGTCCACAGACAGCTTTCCGGGTCATGTGGCCAGCAGGACTAAACTGCTTCTGGTGCAATGGAAAACCCATCATGGAAACCAGAGCAGCGCACGGAAATGCCGTTTACCTTCCCACTGCAGCAGTACCTATTTATCTACTTTCACTGGCGTGCTTTCGAACTGCTAGGTTGGCAGGAGCTGGGACAGAGCAACGGGATCTCACCCCGTCGCGGGGATTCGTACCGCCGACCTTCCGATCAGCACGCCCAAGAGGCTCAGTGGTTTAGACCACAGCGCCACCCGTGTCCCCTGAATTCTAGTAAGGAGCTCTGGTTTGATGAGCAGTTTGCCTATCTCGGTGCTGCTCACTGATACTGTTTAGCTGTGAAAAAATAAGCACCTCTTAGTAAGTCTGCCTATGATCCTCAGTGGCCTGACTTTTCTTTCAACTTGCCCTGCCTCCTACCTTTCAGTGCATTTATTATATTGTTTTACATCTACTGGTTTAATTTATTGCCGTACAGTTCACTTGGCCTCCACCATGCATTTTATGATAGGGGAATATGAACTTTCCGCAATATAGCTGACAAGTCACTCCCAGACCTCAGTTTCTGTCGAAGGGGGAAACCAAAGCTGACTCAGGTGAGTTCTTAGGTCACCATAAGCGCACAACAGTTATTGGAAGGCATGCAAAGAAAACGGTAGATAAAAACGAATAGGGGCAAAGGCTGACGTCCATTTGATGGATGGGATAAATATATATATAAGGTCCACAAGCAGTGATGTGCATCCAGCTACCCAGCCCCCAATCCCCTCTGGGGCTGATCATGTTGCCACCGCAGAGCAGGGTTGTAATCTGCAACTCGTGAGGGAGAACAGATTTTTATCATGTTTCAGCAGTCATACAAAGCAGGGCGAGCGGGAATCTCAATGGACTTTGAATGAAGGACCATTTCCCAAGCAGTATAAGGTAAAGGTAAAGGACTTTACCTTATACTGAATGAAGGACCATTTCCCAAGCAGTATAAGGTAAAGGTAAAGGACCCCTGGATGGTTAAGTCCAGTCAAAGGCAACTATGAGGTTGTGGTGATCATCTCGCTTTTCAGGCCGAGGGAGCCGGCATTTGTCCACAGACAGCTTTCTGGGTCATGTGGCCAGCAGGACTAAACCGCTTCTGGCGCAATGGAACACCATGACGGAAACCAGAACGCACGGAAATGCCATTTACCTTCCCGCCACAGTGGTACCTATTTATCTACTTGCACTGGCGTGCTTTCAAACTGCTGGGTTGGCAGGAGCTGGGACAGAGCAATGGGAGCTCACCCTATTGCGGGAATTTGAACCACCAACCTTCTGATCGGCAAGTACAAGAGGCTCAGTGGTTTAGACCATAGCGCCACCTGCGTCTGCAGTGGATATATAACTACCTGAAAAGCCAAATATTTATGGCTTGTGGAGTAACACTCATGTAGTCAGCTTTTGTCTGGTCTGGGCTATACCAATTCAGCTTGCAGTCAGGAGAACTCACATGACTGGGGGCACCTCTACTCCCCTCTGCCTCTGCTCCAATTCTCCCATTTATAAAATCAGATATCAAGGAGAATTCATCTCACATTTTTTCTTAGAGTCATACTGTGGCGTTCGTACGGAGCCCCCGGTCGTCTCACGGACTATTGACCCGTACACCACTAATCCGCTGCCACCAAACAGGTCCTCCCGGTAAATCACTTAGTCTCAGTCAGGTTCTTAAGTTAACAATGAAGATTGTAGTTTATTGCAAACACAAACAAACTTTAAATGCATTTGAAACGCTGTTACCCTTTACCCTTATTTTAGTCTTATTTTATTCTGTCTCTAACTCTTCTACCTCCCCTCACACAAGAACCAACTGCACTAACTGTCTCTCTATTTCCATCTGTCTGCCAACTGCTTTCCCAACCAACCAACCAACTAACTAACTAACTAAACCTGGGGCTAAGCCCTTTTATAAACAGGTAGGCTCTGCCTCTGGATTTTCTATTGGTCCAGCTATTAACTCTTTCTCTCCCCCTGTACAGACATTTTCAAAAGAACGGGCAAACGCCACACATGCCATCATAGATTGTAGAGTTGGAAGGGACCCAGGGGTCATCTAGCCCAACCCCCTGCAATGAAGGAGTCTCAGCTAAAGCATCTATGACAGATGGCCATCCAACCTTTGCTTAAAAACCTCCAAGGAAGGAGAGCCCACCACCTTCTGAGGGAGACTGTTCCACTGCCAAACAGCTCTTACTGTCAGAAGGTTCTTCCTGATATTTGGTCCGAATCTCCTTGTAACTTGTTTTGAGTCCTACCCTCAAGAGCAGCAGAAAACAAGCTTGCTGCATCTTCCATGTGATAGCCGTTGGGATATTTGAAGATGGCTATCCTCTCACTTGGGACACTGGTGGCGCTGTGGGTTAAACCACAGAGCCTAGGACTTGCTGATCAGAAGGTCGGCGGTTCGAATCCCTGCGAGGGGGTGAGCTCCCGTTGCTTGGTCCCTGCTCCTGCCAACCTAGCAGTTGAAAAGCACGTCAAAGTGCAAGTAGATAAATAGGTACCGCTCTGGTGGGAAGGTAAATGGCGTTTCCGTGCGCTGCTCTGGTTCGCCAGAAGTGGCTTAGTCATGCTGGCCACATAACCTGGAAGCTGTACGCCGGCTCCCTTGGCCAATAAAGCGAGATGAGCGCTGCAATCCCAGAGTCGGCCACAACTGGACCTAATGGTCAGGGGTCCCTTTACCTTTACCTTTATCCTCTCACTTGCCTCTTTTCCAGGCTAAACACACCTGGCTCCTTCAACCGTTCCTCATAGGGCTTGGCTTCTAGATGCTTGATCATCTTAGTTGCCCACCTCTGCACACGTTCTTGGTATTGTAGATTTCCATAGGTGCCAACTCCCTGGGGCTCCGGGCGCCCAAGCACCCACAAAATTTCCCATGAAGGGGTCAGGCACTCACAAATTTCAGTGCCAGAGCCATGCAGACAGCAGGTTACCCATGGTCGCGGGTCCAAGCCAACACTCTTGTAGCTTTCTGTGTGCAGGGGATTTGTTTCCTAAAATGGCCGCGGGATGGTTTTGTTGAAGCAGATGGTTTTTAGAAAAGTGTGCCCTGCAACAAAATGTTGCAGTGCCTAGAGCACTTGGTTCAGGCTTCCTGTTTTCTCGCCTCATCACTTAGGATTTCTTTTCTGGAGTTTTCTTTCACTCTTCTGCAAACCTGGAGGTTCACCCAAGTCTCTTGTGAATGGATGGTGCTGTTTTGGCCTACATAAGTATTGGCACCTTTAGAAGGAGTTTGCCATTGCTATAAAGGACAGGGGTCAGCAACCTTTTTGAGCTGTGGGCCTGTCCATCGTCCCTCAGACCATGTGGTGGACTGGACTATATTTTGAAAAAAAAAAATGAACAAATTCCTATGCCCCACAAATAAGCCAGAAATGCATTTTAAATAAAAGCGCACTTTCTACTCATGTAAAAACACCAAGCAGACCCTACAAATAACCCAGAGATGCATTTTAAATAAAAGGACACATTCTACTCATGTAAAAATATGCTGATTCCCGGACCGTTCATGGGCCGGATTGAGAAGGCGATTGGGCTTTAGGTTGCCTACCCCTGATACAGTGGTACCTTGGGTTAAGTACTTAATCCGTTCCGGAGGTCCTTTCTTAACCTGAAACTGTTCTTAACCTGAAGCACCACTTTAGCTAATGGGGCCTCCTGCTGCCACTGCGCCGCCACTGCACAATTTCTGTTCTAATCCTGAAGCAAACTTCTTAACCTGAGGTAATATTTCTGGGTAAGTGGAGTCTGTAACCTGAAGTGTATGTAAACTGAAGCGTATGTAACCCGAGGTACCACTGCATAGGAGTTAAAGGAGGAAAAGGAGGCTTAACAGCCAGAGTCCCTCTGAATCAAAGGAAAGATTCCTGCCGCTTTTTAGCATTCTTCAGTCAGGTATAACATTTCTTCATTCATTACCAGGAGTTAATGGATTATGCCTCAAGAGTATCTGGCATTTTTACAAAAAAAGCAAGATGCCAGAATAATAGTTCACAAACCATGTTAACCTAATCTCTCTCTCCCCCCCCCCCTTTAATTTTGCTGTGGCATTAATGTCACTTCATGTGAGTTTTGGCACAGAGTGCCAAGAAAGTAAATCAACTAAATCCCACTTTTGTGAATGAAATCAATTAGCGGATGGATTTGGTTCCAGTGATTATGAATCCAGTCGTAGCTTTGTAAGGCTTGCCGCAGCAGCGGATGCTAATGTTCTGCTCGAGTTAGTTTTGTGCAGTATTAATCATCTTCTTCTCTTTCCCCCCCGTCACTCTTTGGGTGGTGCTGCGGAGACATTTCATCACACCGGAAGCTTTAAATGTGAACTTTTAGATGCATTGGCTTCACATTGTTGGGTCTGGTTGGAACCATTTGTAATACTTCTGTCGCAAAGGCTGTGGTACATAGAATCTCAAAGCCTTTGGCTAGTTAGTCTAAAGACAAAGAGTCTTCATTCAGAATGATCCTTGGGTAAACATAGAAAGCTGCCAAATGGGAAGTGTGCACATGATCACTTTTCTATAGCTGGGTTTTGAAAATCCACAACGTAAATCTGGTGGCAGTTGTGTGCGATGACAGACATAATGGTGTTCACACATTATATATCTATATCTATATCTATATCTATATCTATATCTATATCTATATCTATAACTATATCTATATCTGTATCTATATCATCTATATCTATCTATCTATCATCTATCTATCTATCTATCTATCATCTATCTATCTATCATCTATCTATATTAGTATAGTGGTACCTTGGTTCTCAAAAGCCTTGATTCTCAAACGCCGAAACCCTGGAAGTAAGTTTTCAACAGTTTTCAAATGTTTTTCAGCTATTCTTTCCGGGGCGTCTGCACCAATCAGAAGCTGTGCCTTGATTTTCAAACATTCCGGAAGCCTTACAGATTAAGTTTGGCATTTTTGATTTTGCTATTTATTTTGTGTTTTTGTGGCTTTTTCGGTTCATTTGTTTTTGTGACTGTGTGGAACCCAGTTCAGCTACTGATGGATTGATGGATTGTGTGACTATGGAAATGGATAAAAGCCCCCCCATCCAAACAATGACTATCATCAGTGCAGGAAAGAAAAAAAATTAATTTTAATTTTTATCATCTACAATATTGTCTTATTTATTTTATAGTTCAGTACATTGATTATTGCTTTCATTTTATGGATCAATGGTCTTGTTAGATAATAAAATCCATGTCAAATTGCTGTTTTAGGGATTGCTTTTAAAAGTCTGGAATGGATTGATCCATTTTGCACTACTGTACTTTCTATGGGAAAGTGTGCCTTGGTTTTGGAACGCTTTGGTTTTGGAACGGACTTCTGGAACAGATCAAGTTTGAGAACCAAGGTATCACTGTAAGTCTAGATTTCATTTTGCCGACATATATATTTTCTGGCACAAAGCCATCCTGTGAGCAACGTGGCCACAGGTCTCCCAAGATCCCACTCTGGCACTCTAGCCACTATGCAGCACTGCCTAGGCTTTCCCTGTGCTGGTGTGCTCTAAGTTCCTGGTGGCCACTGGATGCAAAACATCTCATATTTACACCTTTTGTGTGGCTGTTGTGTCTCCAACACATGTGCATCAGATTTCACCTTTCTAAGTGGCCTGGGGTATTTGCACCGTATTTCACGATCTCCACATTTGCAGGGCAGAGACATACAGGTGTCCTGTTTCCAAACTTTCCTAGTGATTGGGTTGCCCTCTTGGGTGCTTAATTCCCAAGTCCCTTTACAGAGAGATTTGTGGTGGCGGTGGCTACCACGTAATAAATCGCGGCGCTGCATTTCTCTGGCGTGTTTGCTTGTTCGGGATTTCCTTCTGTTCCAACCTCTCTCCTGTCTTTGTGTGTGGCATAATTGCATTCCCCAAAACTCCTGGCAAAAGCTGACTCATGCTCCCCCATCGCTTCCCGTTTTTCCCCCATCTGCTCCAGCCCTTGTCTGCAGCCCGGCCTACTGGCAATTGGCAGGTAGAGCAGTAATCTAAGAGCAGCGTTCAGCAGTTGGCTTTTCTGAGCGCTGGCAGGCAGCAGACAGAATCCACCTGCCTCATTGGCTTGCTACTGATTTGCCGGCCTCCAGTTCCCTTATGTACCAGCAACAGCCTGCTCAGTCCTCCTTCCTCCCTTCCTTTCCCGTAAACGTGTTTGAGATGATCACTGCTTTGCAGCCGCCGCCTTCGCCTCTTTCAGCACCTCTCCAAACAAGCATGGCTGTCGACAAGACTCTCCTCCGGATTCTGTAAGGTAAAGCAATCTTTGCTTAACTCAGCGCCGAGAAGAAGGGAGAGTTGAATCTGGAACCTGCGTATACAATGGCTTGGGAGGAGGGAGGTGGAAATCTCAGGAATCCAGGTGGCCGGCTGCAATGATTCTTTAGGGCCCATAAAGTAGACAAACAAGTCTCCCGGTGATGACAGCAGGATAAATCGTCCAGGCTCTCTGTGACCAGTTTGCATCCTGCCACAAATAGAGACTTTGCCCAGGCTTTGCTGGAGTTTTGAAACCTTGGCTGGGGAGGTAAGGAAGTTCTGTTAAGAGGTGTCGCTTCAAAGTTGAGGCCTTAAGATTAAAAATTAAGAAAGGCAGCCTGGAGCATGAAAAGAGTTGGCTTAAAGCCTAACACATGACGTGGGATGTGTACGATTTAAATCTCATAGTATGTTCTGTCTCCTACAAATGATTCACCTGCTGTCTCAGGGCTTTTCTAGTAAAACTTGAAAATGTAGAGGCTGTTCTGGGAGAAAGATGGCTACTTCTCTCTCTCTCTCTCTCTCTCTCTCCCCCCAACCCCCTGCCCAGGTAGAGCTCCGGTCTCTTTAACCGGAGGGAATTTCAACAGGTGTAGCTTCTGCTGGCATAGAGAAGCTGTGGTGGGAAATCTGCTGAACTGATTTCTACTTAGGGGCAGACAAGGTGGCTGATTTTAACATCAATATGGGGTGTGCGCATGAGGGTTACAAAGCCCTTTTGCATTTTACCTACCTGCCTGTTGTCCTTTTGCTGCTTCACTGGAAGTGAGCTGGGCTGAGAGAAAAGTGATGGATTGTTGTTGTTGTTGTTTAGTCGTGTCCGACTCTTCGTGACCCCATGGACCAGAGCACGCCAGGCACTCCTGTCTTCCACTGCCTCCCGCAGTTTGGTCAAACTCATGTTAGTAGCTTTGAGAACACTATCCAACCATCTCATCCTCTGTCGTCCCCTTCTCCTTGTGCCCTCCACCTTTCCCAACATCAGGGTCTTTTCCAGGGAGTCTTCTCTTCTCATGAGGTGGCCAAAGTATTGCAGCCTCAGCTTCAGGATCTGTCCTTCCAGTGAGCACTCAGGGCTGATTTCCTTCAGAATGGAAAGGTTTGATCTTTTTGCAGTCCATGGGACTCTCAAGAGTCTCCTCCAGCACCATAATTCAAAAGCATCAGGTAATTTAACAGGACTCAAGGTTACCTGAAGTTGTTCTTTCGAACCCGGAAGCACCGTCCCAAATTCCTGCGAGTTTCAGTTGATGGTTGTAATTATTTGCAAATGAGTGGAAAGCACTCTGCACATGCTTAGAGGCACTTAGAGGTATTCAATGCTTCCTAGGTTCCGGAGGGAAGCCTGGCAAGGAAAACTACCTAAGCCTGGATTCAAATAAAAAGCCCTGATTGTATATAATAATAAGATTGCTGAAACAGGTTTATGAAATTGACTTGCACAGATTGAAGGTGTCTGCAGTGAAGCAGTCAGGCAAACACTGTCTTTAACACTGTTTAGGGAAATAGATTGGTGTAAGAGGCCCAGAGGTGTAAATGTGATTTGGCATTTGAGGCCAGTATGTTTAAGTTGAAGAGATGTCTGCAAAGGTTGCTTTGGAGTTTGGGTGCTGTTGCAGGGTCAAGGGGTATAGTTTTAACAGTTCAGTCTTATCAGTTTCAATAAAAATGTGTTAAATAGCAATCTAAAGATGACTCACCACCTAAAGACTCAGAGGCCAAGCTGATCCAGAAAACTATGTTGCAGTTTGGTGGAAATTTATGTTACATATGAACAAACAACTTTTTGAGGTTTTTGTTCTAGTCCCCTCTATGTATGAATCGATTTGGTGGAATGTGTAAAATCTTATTTAACCTCAGCCCTTCTGAATGGTGTAACCTTCCGTCATCAACAGATCTCCGGGAAGTCCCTTCAGTTTATTATATAACTTTGTGGAAGAACATGGATTTGCTGCTTTACATTCTTGTGGTGTTGTGTTGTGTATTGTTTGTGTATTGTTTTATTATTTATTGAATAATAAATAATTTTTAGAAGGCATCTGAAGAAGACATCTGAATTTTTAGTAGACATCTGAAGGCAGCCCTGTATCGGGAAGTTTTTCATGTTTGACATTCTGTTATGTTTTTATATATGCTGGAAGCCGCCCAGAGTGGCTGGGGAAACCCAGCCAGATGGGCGGGGTATAAAGAATAACATCCTTATTAATTAATTAATTGAATTTGTATACTGCCCTTCACCCACAGATCTCAGGGCAGTTCACAACATAAAAATACAATATAAATGCACTAATTGCATGATAAAAACAAGGAGGGGGACCAATAACCCCATCCCCCCACAAATACATTAAAATATTAAAAGGGGGTATCAGCTGTTAATCAACCAAAAGCCTGGTTAAAGATGGGTGATTTCACCTGTTTTCTTCTTTGACCGACTACAGTCTCTGGGGTTGGGTGCAGCTGTCCTTTATAGGCTGGGGGTGGACCAGAGTGAAGCCTGCTCCGCTCCAGTCTGCTCCCAAGCCCCGCCCACTCACCCTGGCCTGATTGGCCAAGATTCAAATGGTGGGAAAGCCCACTAATCTGAGTGGCCGACTGAGGGATTCCCCCAACAGCTGGCCGCCTATCCCCAGCTTTGCTCCCTGGGCATCTGAGCATGCTGTGACGGGCTGTAACAGCCACCCACTCGGGGAAGCAGTCGTTTTGCAGTGTTTATTCTGTGTAGCCCAACCTGATGCCCTCCGGATATTTTGGACTACAACTCTCATGTGGCTGCTGCTGGCTGTGGCCGATGGGAGTTGTAGTTCAAAACATCTGGAGGGTACCACATTGGCAACAGTTGGAGTGGCCTTGGATGCAAAACCCAATAGCAGGTTTCAGTGCACAGGGATTCTATAAACTCAGATTGTGTATTACTCATTTTGCATCTTTCATCAAGATGTGTTGACCTTTAAAGCCCTAAACAGCCTCAGTCCAGTATACCTGAAGGAGCATCTCCACCCCCGTTGTTCTGCCCGGACACTGAGGTCCAGCGCCGAGGGCCTTCTGGCAGTTCCCTCACTGTGAGAAGCCAAGTTACAGGGAACCAGGCAGAGGGCCTTCTCTTTTTTTTTAATTTTTTTTTTATTAAGTTTCCATATTACCAAATTAAACACATCAAACCAATTAATCCAAATTATAACAATACACATCATATAATCCAATTGTTTTCCGAATTATAAATTTTGTGGGGGGTACCCATGCTTCTTGATCGGCAGGAGTCCAATCTTCCAATATTTCTGCTGCTTTCATATTTACAATGATATTTTCAGTCCCCTCTTCTCAATCCTTGTTGTTACTCATTTTCCTTTTCCTTCACCTCTGAGTTGCTCCGCAAATGGGTTAAAAGAAACAGTCTTATTTGTATTTCTGTGTGGACTTTGTATTGCTCTCTCATAAATCACTCTCATCCAATAGTCCAGGCATTTCCGCTCGAGCAAGCAATCGCCATCTTGCTGTTCCGATGAAATACAGTCTAAAAGCCCACTCGTTAACTTTCCCGACCTGTTGCATCGTAAATTAGTCTTTTCCAGGAGGGCTGCCCCTTCCAGTTCACAATCCCATCCAGATAACAAATCTTCGGCTCGCCCTCCCCAAGACCAAACTCTCTGCAACGAAGGTCTGTCTTTCCGTATCAAATCTCAATTCTTGCTGCGTCACAAAGAGAACCTTTCTTCTTTCCAAATCCTTCACAGAGTAAAACCTTTAAATTTATATTATTCCCACACAGTTCATTTTTAGTCCCATTTGCCAATTAGTTGATGTGACGGATCTTCTAAGGGGGAGGGTTGTTAGGTAATCACATAAACGCCACTTGTCCCTCTAAGAAGTTGGACGCCAACCGCGGCAGAGGGCCTTCTCGGCGGTGGCGCCCGCCCTGTGGAATACCCTCCCACCAGATGTCAAAGTGAAAAACAACTACCAGACTTTTAGAAGACATCTGAAGGCAGCCCTGTTTAGTGAAGCTTTTAATGTTTAACAGGTTATTGTATTTTAGTGTTCTGTTGGAAGCCGCCCAGAGTGGCTGGGGAAACCCAGCCAAATGTGCAGGGTATAAATATATTATTATTATTATTATTATTATTATTATTATTATTATTATTATTATTATCCTTGCAGCAACTTTGTGAGAAGGTAAGGCTGATCCATGCGAGACCATCCACTGAGCAGGAAAATTGAGCCCAAGCCATCCTGGAATGATGCTATAAATGCACTGTTTTGTACTGTGAATACAGAGCCAGCAGCGCCATCAATTTCAAATTAATTAATCGGTATTAAAATACTTTTATCTTTGTGGTACAGATGATGGACGTTAAGTGGGGAAGAGAGCATTATGTCTTCTTCTTCTTCTTCTTCCCTAGGGCACTATATGTTTTTAAAGGACCTGGGTAGACTTAATCCTGATTTAGGCGTGCAGTTCCACAATGGTGCCACCCTAGTTTGCACTGGGTGAAACTATGCCCAATAACACACACAACTTTATCAGATGTCTTATCAAACTATGATGCGATGGACTTTGAATCATGACTAAATTTACCGGCTTGGTTTTCGGTTCCCATAGTGAAAAGATAATCCTAGATCTGAGAGCAATGTGCGTCTTTCAATCTACGCTGCTGCTATTTTTTCCAGTAGTTTTGCTGTTTGGCTGTGATATGTGAGATTCTTAGCGAAGCATCACCTATCTTTTCAAAGTAAGAGGCCAGAGCCTGAGTTGGAGGATGGATGGCAGCTAACAGATTGAGATTGAATCCTGACAAGACAGAAGTACTGTTTTTGGGGGACAGGGGGCGGGCGAGTGTGGGGGACTCCCTGGTCCTGAATGGGGTAACTATGCCCCTGAAGGACCAAGTGCGCAGCCTGGGAGTCATTTTGGACTCACAGCTGTCCATGGAGGCGCAGGTCAATTCTGTGTCCAGGGCAGCTGTTTATCAGCTCCATCTGATACGCAGGCTGCCTGCG